TGTAAATTCAAAGGAAAGCCACATGCATCTATGTCCATGTTTCTAGTAAATCTATTACAACTTTGTAATCATTATTCATTTGTAATTTCAATAGAAGCAAACACGATAATAGTCGTAACCCAGATTCTGGTTCAACATGCATATATTTATCATATGTGGAAAAAATATTGCATTAAAATTTTAAACAAAAGAACTATTTATTTATGTTTGTATACTATTATAATCTCGTTATGTAATTAATCTTTGAGTTCTAAAACTTTTTTTGGTTTTGTCAAATCAAAAGTTTTTTCCAACAGAAGTGAGAGTTAAAGACTACTAACTTACTAAGTAAAAAAAAAAACGGTTTGCAATTCAGAGTAATAAATTCAAATGATGTGATATGCTATATTGTCCAAATTAGACTCAGAACTAAATAAGAGGTTTCATAATAGAGCATGCAAAATAAGGTGAATGAAAAGATTAATAATGAATTTCGATTTCTTCAGTTAATGGATTTGATATTGATATAAAATTTTTTATATAAATAAATGCTCAAAATTATTACTATGATTATAGTATATAAGGAACGTGAAAAATGTTTGTTTAACTAACTTAGTCTATGTGAATTATGAGATAGTTATGTCTCAAAACACTAGCAGCAAGTCTGTTGCAAATCTAAAACTTGTCGCAGATCTCCAACCACTGACAGTCTGCCACCAAGACGAAAACAAAAACCTAAGAAGGAATAAGGAAGACATGATAGATGCCGACGCCGTGGGAGCTCTCGCATCGGCCAAAAGCTTGACGATGACAATGTATGGCGAGAGCTTTCTCGAGAAGAAAAAATTGTCATAATCAAAGTCGATCGGCCACGTTCTTCTCATAATATAATATTTTTAGCGTTAATTCACTTAGAAGCACGATGCAAGAAGCTTAAATATTTTCCTCATACATGCTCGCATTGTATTCTAAGTTGCATGGAAACTTTGTCTATGGTCAGTTTCCGGTTTTTGAAATCGTATTAAAATCAGAATTTCCCAAAAATGAGGTGGATGCGCGATTCGTAAGAAATTTATTTTAGAAACACGACGAGATTTTTCTAATTATGATTTAGAAACACGACATATGGGCGATTGGTAACGACTATAAGTTTTGCTTTTAGAAGCTTTGACTTTAAAAATTTGAGTTTCAGAGAATTTGGCTGTAAAGATTTTGGCTAAAGAAACTTTGGCTGTTAAAGTCTGATTGGTAGCACAAAACTGTAGAAGCTGTGACTGTTATTTATTATTACTAGATGTATCTTAATATCTTTATATAATAAATTTGTAATGAAAATTAACATTTAAAAGTCGTTTTACACATGTTTTGTAAAAGTCTTCATAAACTCGGACATAACATTGTGAACTCGCACCCGCCTCAATCCATCACTGACTAGGTACGTAGGCAAGGAACTTCCTCTCAACACTTTGAACTCAACCAATGGATCATTTCATGCTTGGAACCATGATCTCTCATTATTGCTCCAAATGATAAATTTAAGGATATGTATGTTGCTTCAAGTCTGGAAGTTGTCGACTATCCCGAAAATCAAACACTTCATGTGGACAGTTTTGTACATAAGATAAGAATGTATTGAACCGATTCTTTCTAATGAAGTCTCTGGCTTTGGCAACCTCTACACGGCTTATTACTATGGTAATGAGGATTGATCCGGGTTGTCCTCGCTGCAGTAATGGAGAAGAAATTATTAACCATGCTCTATTTGCCTGCCCATTTAAGAACACGGTTTGGCTGCTTTATCACCTCCAACCAACTTTCGTCTGATGATGTTGAAGAAAATATAATTAATATTCTTGAAATCTATAATACTCAAGACATTCCAGACACACGAATCTTTTACCTCTATGGCTCTTTTGGCGAATTTGGAAAGCATGAAACAATTTCATTTCAGTAAAATCTGAGAAAGATCATCAAAGATCGTTCTAAAAGCACAAGCAGAAGTAAGGGATTGGATTGATAATGTTGTAACTTGCGGCCTTTTTGAATATACAAGCAAGAAAAACTGCAACTCAGGAACCAACATGGTCAATACCATCTCTACCGTTTATTAAGTGTAATATTGAAGCGTGTTTCGATACAAATACATCTCAGGCCACAAGTGGATAGATTGGATTATTCGTGATCATACCCTTTCATGGGGTTCGACTAAGTTGGAACATGCTTCTTCCCCACTAGGAGCTGAGACAAAAGCATGCACTATGTACTGGCTATGCAACAAGTTTGGGTTCGGGGATTCAAATATGTTAGTTTTGAAGAAGACTGTAAGGTTCTAATCGACATCATCAACTGATCAATGAAGCGCTGCAAAATATCGAATATACTTTTGAATATTTATTTAAGGAACTCCCAAGTTTTCATCTACGTAATTTTGCTATATTAAGCGAATATGCAATAATGCTGCACATAATCTAGCTAACTTTGGTTATAATATTTCTTGTTTTTATTCTGCTTCCGTAGATCAACCGATGTGGCTAAAACAACAACTTTGTACTGATTTGATTAGCTCAATCTACTTCTGGTTTGACGGAAAAAAAAATCTTTATAAACTCTGCTTTTAGCAATACAAATAAAGAAAAATAATTGATTTTTTTTTTAAAAAAATCTTTATATACTTGGTATGTATTTGGCTGACTGAGTAAAGAATGTATAAGCTTTGCATTTGTGTTTCCTTTGTAAATGTCTCTTTATGTACTCAATACTCATATATAACAACCAAATCTTAATCTCTCTAATGAAAACTAAAAATATTATATTACGAATTGAGATACCATTACAAATCACTTTAATAAGTAAGACCCCTAGAACCATGGGATCAAAAAATCGTAAGCCTCCATTAACGGTCATCGAGCATTTTCATTCGTGTATTTTCCTTGTTTCAAGTTTTCTTAAAACGTTTGTTTCATGAATGATCTAGACTAAAGGGATGTTTTTCATGAGTTTAACTGTTTAAGAATGAGTTTGAGAATCAGAGGCCTAGTTTTGTTTATTCAGATGTCTCCTCTTTTCCAAAGACAGAATCATGTGTGAATAAAAGTGACTTTTGATAGTCTCACTAGTGATGCCAAGTCACGTGAAGTGGTCGTGCTAGACCTTACTTTCAGCTGCCTCCATGGCCGGCTCGAGTCCAAAAATAGTCTTTTTAGACTACGTCATCTCCGTGATCTGAACCTCGCTTACAACAGTTTCACTGCTTCTCCGATCCAATCCTAGCGGAGCTTGATAAACTCATGGGGCTAGAAAGACTCAACCTCTTCACTTTTGGGCCAAATTCCAACCAAGAGTCTTCAGCTAACCTTCTAAACTTACGGACGGACGGATGACTACTTTGGTTTTTCAGTTTTAGGGACCACTAGTTGATATAATACATGAACACAACGACCTACAACGGATAAGCATTTAAAATATGAGTTAAGAGTTCACAGATAAAAGCAGCTACAACAAAAAATACAAAAAAGAAACATCAGAAATGAATTACTATATATGAACACGATGTCCTACAACGGATATAAAAGTCGAATCATTTCAGTAATCTTGATTTGAGACTTTACGATGCCATACACTGTAATGTATGATGTTTTCTGGTGATGAAGATACTTCGGACCAACAATTAGAGTGAGTAAAGATGCATGAACATCCTCGAAACTAATCTTCATTAATCATGTGGTGTATATCGAATCAAACAACAATGAAAGAAGAAAACAATTGTAGTATTTCTTGATCACTAGTGGTCAAGGAATAATACATTTTTTTCTTGTTTCTTGATTCGATATCCCCCATATGATCAACGAGGATGTTCATGTAACTTGACACTTTACTCACTATATATTCTTGGTTCCCAAGAATCTTCCTCACCGGGAAACATCACAAATTACCGCATATGCCATCGAAAGGTTTCAGAACAAGATAACACAAATAATTCGACTTATGCATTGGTCACTATAACAAAGAACTACTCCTCTTAGTTTTCATCATCATCAGCTTCGACGTAGGTACATGTACCTAGAAATAATAAGGGGTTAATATGTCATTCTCAAGAGTTTGGAAGCTCACTTTCTGAGATTCCTCTCCTTCGATTCAAACATCGTAATTTTACGTCTCATCCCATAGACGAGATGATAGGAGAAGTCCTTTACTCCTAGAGTTGGGTGTGCTATATAGTTCATAGTGACATAGAATTCCATGTGGCTCCTTGAAACACTAAACGTCAACCAATGGACCATCTTCAGATTCGTGAATGACTAAAATCTCTTTACTGATGCTTACTCATGCGTCACCATAATGACGTATACGACACATGAAACCTGAGTTTTATGATATACTTAGGGTTTTTGGAATTTTTATAAAACATGAGTTTTATGATATTTTTTGGGTTTTTATTTTATTTTGTATAAAAACATGAGTTTTAGGATATTTTTAGGGTTTTTGATTTTGTATAAAACATGAGTTTTAGGATATTTTTAGGGTTTTGGAATTTTGTATAAAAATGCCGTTAAGGCTTACATTTGTAATTAGTTTTAGATTTAGTTATTTTTATGTATTGATTAAAACAGTTACGTTGAGATTGTTCTCCTATGTGAATCACTAATGAATTTAACATTTAAAAGACATGAATTTTTATATAATCAATAAAAAGGCTCTCTTTTTTAGTTGTCAACAACTTTATTAGATTAGCTTATACAAGCCAATTCTGGAGGATATTGTTTTCATAGGTAATTAGATGCGGTTGGGTACGAACATTTCGTGCCAAATTATCCGCTTTTGAATTTGCAATAAAAAGTCTCATATAAAAAGAAAAACAAAACAATACAGAAAAGTCTCTTATCTATCCAACTTCTAATTAAAAGTCCCAAGTCAACAAGAAAAACAAAACAAAATAAGACATACCGTTTTTTTTTTTTTTTTTTTTTTTGATAAACCCTATCGGCTTATAAACACATGAAACAAAATAAGACATACCGTTGGCACAATGTATAACTTCTGTCACTTTTTCCCGACATAGCTCGTAGTTTATGTCCACTTTGATCCCAGATCTACAGAGTAATTAACAACATCACAGATCTACAGAGTAATTAACAACATCTTTTCGAGAATTAAGAAAACATATAAAACAAGAATAAAAATCTAACCGATTATATTGAAATCTGTATCGTTACCCTTATCTTGTCAACAATGTAATCCATTGGAGAATTCGTATAGTTTTTGTTTGCTTGCTTGGTCTAACAACTGAATCAATAAAGGTTAATGGTTTAGGACAAGTACATCAAATACAATTTCAATCTATAAGTATCAGATTCTAGAACTGGATTGATTATAACTTAAATATTAAGAGGATAACAAGGCACGTGAATGTACTACCTCTTCTCCTCTCAACTTGTATAGTATAGAAGATTCAACACCCTGTAATCAAAGGACTTCAAATGAATTGCTCTCATCACATATTCGAGACAAATCTATATGAACCAATGTATAGCAAAAAACCAAACAGTTACCTTGTTTTTGATTGAAATAGCATGACAACGCTTTCTTTCTAACGCCTAATACTTTTCACCTTACTTAAACTCTTGTTGTATTCTAATCCCATGCAACAAATTAACAACGATCTGTGTACATGTTTGTCCCTTCCCGAATTCAACAGTAAGAAAATAAAAAAAGTATAGCAAGAAATTACCTTTGTGTCAAAAGGCCCTCACGTTCAAGCAGATCTCCAAGTGGCTTCAACGGGTTAGTGTCAAAAGAAACTCGTGATTCAGCTAACAATATAAAACAAAAAAAAAGGATTAATAATCAACCAAATCGAATTTGTACTGTGAATTTCGCTAAACATATTGACAGTTTGAACCATTGGAAATTCTTTTAGCTTTTGTTTGCTTGCTTGGTCTAGATCTGACAAATAAATCAATAAAAGTTAAATGGTTTGAGACAAGTATATAAGATATTTGATCGAAAATTTTAACAGTGTCTTGCCTGAATTGATTCCTTCTTCTCGTACATGTGCTAGTAAAATGAGATCTTCATTACCACCATTCTCGCCTTCGGATCTGCTTCATCGATCTTCAACAATGAGTCAGAGAAGTTTAGGCGGCTACGTTCGTGTCTTTCCAGGATGACTATAGAACCTGATATGTTTTGCTATATATATATATATATGTACACTGAAGAAAAGGTGTCCAAAACCCTAATTACCTTTTTTTTTTAGTGTGTCATCCATGTTAGGTGTCACAACATCTTTGGACAACAAAATTTCTTACCATTTTCATTTACTCAATATATCTTATCCTAAACTCTCTCTATAAAATAGATAAATAATATGTAATTTTATCAATTTTCTAAATGATTTTATTTTCAAAATATTTTCTTACAACAAACTATTTGAAAAAGTATGAATTCTATCGTCAAAAAAAGATTTAATTGTGAATTAGAGTAATAAATTATGTAGTTGTGAAAAACAGTGAAAATGTAATAATGGCCTGAATATTAAACTGTGTGAATACATTACTATACAAATATATCTATATCGTAAGACACAACTTTTTACTATTAAATATATGCAAATATGAAAAAATTATGAATTAAAATATTAATATATCTATATATATAACTATATATATATATATATATATATATATACACGTATGTATCATTTTGGTTTAGGATTTATAAGTATCTTTTTATCCCGTCATTGATTGGCGCTTTCTTCTTTATCGAAATTTACCACTTTATATTTACTATCTTTTGATTGATTACACTCAAACGGAAGACATAATGATAAAATTTATATAATCACAAGTACTATAAAAATGATAAGATCTCTCACCCTCAAACAATAACAAAAATTTAAGATAACAAAAAATAAAATAATAAGATAAGTGAAAAATCTATCTAGAAGCTATCTTATATTTTATATGCAAAATAAAATATAGTTTAATATATATTTTATATTAGTTATCAAAAATATATATCTTTTAAAAATTACATGATCTAACATTCTACTATAGTTGGATTTTTTTAATATTAGGTTTAGTATTCGTCACAAGATTCTAGCACATCTAACATCAATACATACTAGATTAATTTTCACCCTATCATTGTCACATTAAAAATAGGTTAATGTGATTATGTTGGTTCAATGTTGATATTGATTTTCATGGTAAGCTATCTATTGGATTTCATGAAGTCGACTAGATGTATCTTAGTATCCTTTTATACATGTTTTGTAAAAGTCTTTATAAACTCGGACATAACTTTTTGAACTCGCACCTGCCTCAATCCATCACTGACTCGGTACGAAGGCAAGGAACTTCCTCTCAACACTTTGATCTCAACCAATGGATCATATCACGCTTCGAACCATGATCTCTCATTATATTTCTCCAAATGATCATTTTAGGGAAATGTATGTTGCTTCAAGTCTGGCAGTTGTCGACTATCCCGAAAATCAAACACTTCCTGTAGACAGTTTTGTACATAAGAATGTATTGAACCGATTCTTTTTAATGAAGTCTCTGGCTTTGACAACCTCTACACAGCTTATTACTATGTTTAATACAAAAACATCTCAGGCCACAACTGGATGGATTGGATTATACGTGATCATACCCTTTCATGGGGTTTGACTAAGTTGGAACATGCTTCTTCCCAGGGGCGGACCCACATAGTAAATAGGGGGGGTCAGTTGCACCGGATAAAATCATGAAATTCTTTAGTGATCCTTAACAAAATTATTGAATACCCCCTAAAACTTTTTGTTTGCACCGGTTAAAATTTTTTGTCCTTTGGTTTCTTGTTTTTTAATGGCAATTAACTTAATGCTTAGAGAGAGAAATGCTCATATTCATTTATATCTAAGATTAATTTCGACATAACTTCTGTTGAGATTAATGACACAAAAAATTCCGATTATATATAAAAATAATCAATTAACAACTATCTATATTAAATACTCCATGAAGAATTATTTCTTCACCTCATTCATAAATATATTTAGTTTTACCTTTTTATAATTTAGGTTATTGTTGTCAATTGTTTTAAATAACCTATCGTTTTAACCGTATTAAAATTTGTATCCAAAATTTTCTTTAAACTTTTTAAATAATATTGAAAATACAACAGCTTTGGCAAAACTCGATATAGGATGCAATTATATATTGTTTAACCTAGAGGAAGCAATGTTTAGAAACACGAGGTGAAAATATTTTTTAGCTAACTTTTGCTGAAAAAAATTAAAAAAGTAAAAAAAAAATATAGAAAAAATAATAAAGCTTCTATAAATTTTACTTTTCTTTCATCTATTTTCTACTTTTTTTAAAACTTTATCAATTACACTCATAATATATTTTTGAAATATTTATATATTTATTTTATTTAATAAATATTATATATATATATATATATATATATAATATTTTGTGGGTCCGCTACTGCTTCTTCCCTACTAGGAGCTAAGACAAAAGCATGCATTATATACTGGCTATGCAAAAAGTTTGGGTTCGGGGATTCAAATATGTTATTTTTGAAGGAGACTGTACGGTTCTAATCGACATCATTAACGGATCAATGAAGCGCTGCGAAATATCGAATATACTTTTGGATAATCATTTAAGGAACTCCAAGTTTTCATCTACGTGATTTTGCTATATTAAGCGAATATGCAATAATATTGCACATAATCTAGCTAAGTTTGGTTGTAATATTTCTTGTTTTTATTCTGCTTCTGTAGATCAGCCGATGTGGCTAAAACAACAACTTTGTACTGATTTGATTAGCTCAATCTAATTCTGGTTTGACGAAATGAAAAAAATCTTTATAAACTTTGCTTTTAGCAATACAAATAAAGAAAAATAATATATTTTTTAAAAAAAAATCTTTATATATTTGGTATGTATTTGGCGGACTGAGTAAAGACTGTATAAGCTTGCATTTGTGCTTCCTATATAAGTGTCTTAATATTAATCTCTCTAATGAAAACGAAAAATATTATATTACGAATTGAGATACCATTACAAATCACTATAATAAGTAAGACCTTAGAACTATGGGATCAAAAAATCGTAAGCCTCCATTAACGGTCATCAATCATTTTCATCTTTTCTTGTTTGTGGTACTAAATATACAAGGAGTGATCAAAAATATTGAGATCATTCTAAAACTCAACTTTGATCTATGAATATATATGCCTTTAACCCATCAACTACAAAACTCATGCAAGGTAAAAAACAAATTCGTTATCTGTGGATGGATTGATAAAAACGCCTCTCAAGGAGTGAAATGTTCCATCCACAAAATGAAGGGAAGAAAGAAATGGGATCTCTCCATCATAGAAGCTAGTTTGTCCTTCTTTTTAACGGCTCTCCACCACCACATCCAACTGCTTCTCGAACGAAATGTTGTCGTTAGGCATATATATTATGTGCTGTTATAGGAGCTTTAGCCTTTGAGTCTGGACATTGAGTTTTCAGGATAAATATTTGTTCTCCTCCTATGACAAAGAAACACACAAAAAATAGAATGAATTCACAAATATATTCAGCATTGACCAGAGTTCTAAATGGCTAATTAATTAAAATTGACAGATGTTATACTAACTAATAAAAATTATTATATCAACAAAAAACAAGACAAAAGAAGTCGTACCGTTCACACAATGCATCACTTCTGTTACCTTTTCCCAACCAAGCTAGTAGGTTCGTGTCTACTTTCATCACACAGCTCTGCAGAGTAATTAAAAACATTTCTTTTAAGAAAAATAATATAGATGAAACAGGAACAAAAGTTAATGGATCAAATCGAATTCTGCATCGTTTGGCTAACCATATCAACATCGTAATCCATTGGTTCTAACAACGAAATCAATAAAAGTTAAATAGTTTTGGACAACTATATCTGATATAAATCTTTATTTAAAAAAATTAAGAAAAACAAAACAAAATGAATGTAGAAGATTCAACACCCAGTAATCAAAGGACTTCAAATGAATTGCTCTCATCACATCTTCGAGAAAAATTTATAAAGATACGGAGGAAACCATATTGATATGAGCCTCAGCCCTAGCTACTGATCTTGTATAATAAGCCGTGATTAGAACTCAAGAACAGAGAAGATTTAAGCTAAGCTCCCTTTAACCCAAGCCTCTTTCTTAGAGAATTAGGTTAATGTTGGAAGTTGAATATTATTGATGTTTAGAGACCTATTTATAGATCTCTTTACAACCGACTAAACTCACCAAAGAAAAGTAAAAATACCAAAACTAAGTTCACATAAGAAAAGGAAACATATGACTTTTACTTAAGAAGCTTTTGAAGACTTCTTCTTTCTTCTTTGATACGTGATACCATATCTCGTATCATTACTCCCCTCCTCGACTAGGAGCTTGTCCTCAAGCTCTAATTCTGGATATGCCTCAAGAAGTTTCTCGGCATCTTCCCATGTAGAGTCATCTTCTGCATCATCAGTCCACTTTGTTAGTATCTGTCGCAGTCCTCCCCGTGTTCATGCTCGTAGTAGTTTAATTGGCCTTGCTGGTACAGAGCGACCTTGTAAAACTGGTGGCAATGTGGGACTGCTAGTTGGTAGTGGCCCTTTGTGACCCTTAAGACGTGACACATGAAACACATCATGTATCTTTGAACCTTCTGGTAGCTGGAGCCTGTACGAAACAGAGCCTATGCGAGCAGTCACTTCAAATGGACCGTAGAATTTAGGAGAGAGTTTTGTATAGGCCCTTTGCGTCACTGTGAGTTGGCGATACGGCTGAAGCTTGACCCAAACCCAATCACCTGTATTGAACTCCAATTGACGATGATTGTTATCATAGGCTGATTTCAGGGCCGGTCCTGAAATTTTGGGGGCCTAAAAAAAGTTTAAGGATTTTATAGTAGTTTCTAAAATTGGGGGCCTTTTTATAAAAATAAAATAAATTTGGGGGCCTATTTTATAAAGAAAAAATGTGTAGAATTTTGGGTGCCCAAAACAATTGTTTCACCCTGCTGTGTTCAGGGACGGCCCTGGCTGATTTCATCCTCAGTTGGGCTTCCAGCAGACGTTCTCGAGCTATGGCGATAAACTCGTCACGTTCCTCCATTTGTATGTCTACCGCCTCTACTTTTGAGCTGCCAGAGACGTAATCCAAGAGGCGAGGAGGTTCCCTGCCATATACCATTCGAAATGGCATTGTCTTAAGACTTGTGTGGAATGAAGTATTGTAGCAATACTCCACCCAAGGAAGCCAATCAAGCCATTTTCTAGGAGCATCACCTGTGAGACATCGCAAGTACATCTCCAACGTTCTGTTCACAACTTCTGTTTGTCCATCCGACTGAGGTCTATATGCTGTTGTAAAACACAGATTCGTTCCCATCAAACCAAATAACTCTCGCCAAAAAATACTACGGAACACTTTATCTCTATCGGTGACAATGGTCTTCGGAATCCCATGTAAACGGACAATGTCTTTGAAAAACGCTTGTGCTACAGAACGTGCCGTGTATGGGTGACTCAAGGCGATGAAGTGTGCATATTTAGAAAAGCGGTCCACGACCACCAAAACCACCGTTTTACCAGAAACCTGAGGCAACGCCTCGACGAAATCCATGGATATATCAGACCAAATCTGTGTTGGAACAGGGAGCTGTTGGAGCAATCCTGCAGGTTGCAAGGTTTCCCACTTGTTTTGTTGACAAACCTGGCAATTGCTTACGAACTCCTTAATCGTTTTTTTCAGCCTTTCCAATAAAAATCTCGTCGTACGCGGTCCATCGTCTTTTGTACCCCTTCATGGCCGAAATTGTGGAAACTTGACACCACTTCTTGTATCAAAGGGGACTCTGTTGATATGTAAGCTCGGTCCTTATGAAATATCAGGCCATTGTGTGCTTTCCAAATGTCAGCCATTTCACCACGAATAATTTGATCTCGGAGAGCTGCAAGGGTTACGTCATGGTTCGTTTCCTCTCGTAATTTGGCTAAGATCCCTTTATTGGACACAGTAAGAGCTGATAAGGAAGACTGGTAGTCTTCCTCGTTTTCTTCTCGCCTTGACAAGGCATCAGCCACTTTGTTTGTCGTACCAGAACGATACTCAACGCCAAAATCAAAACCCAACAATTTACTCACCCAATGTATCTGTGGAGAAGTTGAAAGACGTTGTTCTAGTAGATACTTGAGGCTGTAATGGTCGGTGCGAACTGTAAATCGCCGTCCCCACAAGTATGGTCTCCAATGTATTACCGCCTTAGCTAACCCGATGAGGTCTCTTTCGTAAGCGACAAGTTTTAAATGCCGAACAACCCCGAGGCGAGCAACAGGTTAAACTCCATTCTGATTAGTTTATGGGATGGAAGCCGTAGTCCCAGCCGAGCTGAATGTTCCAGGATTGTGCCGGAGCGAAGCTCCACTTAACGAGGAATCGAATTCTAAATTATTAGAAGATGTTCTCGATACAATCGATGAAAGGCGAGACCAATCCCTTATTCGACTTCAGAATTATCAACAGTTGACCGCTCGATACTATAACTCAAAGTTGAAAAACAGACCTTTAAATGTAGGAGACTTTGTTTTAAGGCGAGTGTTCGATAACACAAAAGAAGAAGGCGCTGGAAAACTCGGTATTAACTAGGAAGGCCCTTATCAAATCACTGAAAAAATCCGAAACGGTGTATACCGTTTACAAGACCTTGACGGAAACCCCGTTCAAAGGACTTGGAACATAATCAACTTGAAAAAGTTCTATTGCTAAAAGCAAACACTTTCGAACTACGATTTGGCTTGATCCTATTTTGGGTACGTAGGCAGCTCGTTAAAGACGAGTCCAACTATAATATAAAAATAAAAATATTATTTCAAATTATGGAATCTTATTTTGGGCTTAATATAGAATACATTGCAAACAATGTATAAATAAATATTTCTAGCTAAACTCAGATTTAGAAGGGTCTTGAATTACGGAATAACTCTGCTCCTTGACCAGCGAGGTCAACGATGCTCATAATGCAGCCTGGCATGTTTCCGTACTCTTGAAGTCCCAGTTCGATCCAATCGGAAGGATGGGCTTCGAGGCAATGAAGCTCGCGAGAAATGTCAAGGCAACGCTTCCCTAGTTCCCTTTTCTTCTTCCCAATCTCCTTTTTCTCGTCCTCGAGCTCGTCATGCCGAGTGATAAGCTGAAGAAAATAAAACGCTACGTTTAGCAATAACAAAAAGAAGTTAAATCACTAGGATGGAAAATACCTTGTTGATAAACTCCTCGGCTTTGACACGATCTTGGGCTGACAATCTCTCTATTAATACGATCGGAACCTGAATGTTGGTTCCCTTCCTCAAATATTCGTGACCCTTCCGGTTTGCCAGTTCTTCCCGTTTTTGTAAGCTTGATGTCTGGTGCTCCCGGAAGATCGTCACTTACCAATCTGGATGAGTCAGAAGTTTTCTCTGACGAATTTCCCTCTTCAGACATTTTTGTAGAATTGTTGTTGAAATTCAATGAAAAACTACACCCACTTTATACTCGAAAATTTATTCGATTACATTTAAGAGGATTAATTGTCGATTTCCCGAATCTGAAATTACTACTTTCGTGGAAAATGTAATCGAGTTAATTGCTAATTATATTCCCTAGATTAAACGCATTAAATGAGATTTGAATAATCGGCGAATTTAAAGCGAAAGAGGGAATGTAATTAATATCGTTGGGCAACTCGCCCAATAGAATATTACAAAATTAAAAAAAAAAAAGTAAATAATAACTAAGAAGGAGGAGGGTTCGTAGAAGGGACTTCGTCAGATGACGAACCGCTTTCACGCTCGTCGGGCTAGAGGCTCCTTTGGTAGATGTCCCAGTACTTCTTCAGAAACCTCATGTACTCTCGAAGACAGCTGGGAATACGAGCGATAGAGTCAAATCCCCTCCTCTCCCAGTTATGAACATCCGACTCCAAACGTCAGATTTTCCTCTCAGTCCTAGCAATTCTCTCCTCAAGGACACGGCGTTTCCTTCCAATGCATTGCCTTTCGGAGCAAAGGAAAACGTACCTTTCAGTGATCTGCAGAGGAAAAGATGCGTTACGAATCTATCGGATAAAACCTTGAAATAACTTATATCAAGGTCAAACCTGTTCCATGAATTCATGACATTCGATCTTTTCCTCCTTGGACATGGAAGAAAGGAAACAAGGAATAGCTACCCCTTGGGGAGTAAATCCATCCCCTGGTGGAAACAGAGTTTCAGCCGAAGGGAATCGTGGTGGGTTGGAATCAGAAGGTTCGCCTTGGGGAGAAGCCATCGAAAATCTAAAACAAAAAGAGTTGTGAAGTTCCTTATAAAGAAAAACGTCTATTGGAAAATTTCCAAAACCCAACCCTCCTTATATAGAAAAAAATATGTAAGGACACTCACTCGAGTATTTATTGAAAAGAAAGTTGAACGTCAGTCCATTAATTTGACAGTTACTGTCTTTCGATTTTTGCGTGCATGCACAAACAAGACCTACGAAATATAGGTCAATCAAGTATCACTTAACACCTAGTAGGCAAAACTTAATTTCGAGCTCGAAATTCGAAGTCAATCAATAAATGGTATCACACCTTTTTCTTAGAGATAACGAACAGTTCTCACTGGAAATTTCTCTAAATCGAACACATTCGAAGTATTGCAAAGTGTTCTAGTAAGCCGAGCTCTAACCTCGCAACCGAGAGACCGAGGAAAAATTCCAATGTTTTTCCTTTAAAAAAGGCAAGTAGGTCTGATCAGCCTATCTCTCCTATAATCTTAAACCATTTCGGTTAGGAGGACTTTGCAAACCCTCCCGGTAAAATCGATGGTTTCCACCAAAATTAAATATTTCTTCCTAAAGAAATTTTAATTAAACCCCCTTGGGAAATTTATTCAAAATAATAATAAAAGCCCCCTTGGGCAAAGAAAAACTCAAAAGTAATAAAATGGCCCCATGGCCAACAAGGCAAATTTCATGTCTTGAAAATTAAAGGGACAATGCCCCACATAAGGTGAATGCAATCACCATCATTCTTTCATAGGCGAACCGCCTTCTTCTCTTGCTTGACTTGAGACAAGAGCACCCCCGACGTCATCGTCTTGAGTCGCGAGAACCACTTCAGGATTAAGCGAGCTAACGTTTTGAGGAGTTTCGTTCCTCGATTCAACTTCATCTCCCATAAACGAGGAGGTGACAAGTCCCTGATCAGAGGGCCCCTGGGCTCGTCCCGAGGAGATTCTGTCAACGTTGGTTCCGAACTCATTAAAATGAGCGCTAGGAGAACCGGTTAACATCATCTCGTCCAAGGACGAACCAATATTTGGTTCAGTCAGCGGAGGGGAATCAGCAAACTCAGAAGCAAACTGCTGCAAATTCAAATATGGCTGAGGAGCGGTATTTAGCTTAGCTTCAGTCTCAGCTAGCTCGGCACCAACCGTCTCTTTCTCTTCAGCCAAATTGACTTTTCCGTCCTCTATCTCTTCCAGCAAGGGCAGTCTCTAGCTTTTGCTCTGTCTCAATCATGGTCTTCCTTGTCTCCTCGCCGAATCTTTCGAGTCTCTCGATTTCCTCCCGGCAAACCGAGTCGAGTCCAGCTGTCTCCTGCACAAGCCGATTGGAAGATTGCAGTTTCTCAATCTCTCCTTCAGCGGCGGCAACTTTCTTGGAAACTTTGGCAAGTTCCTCTTCGTAAAAGTTGACGATGCCATTCACATCCAGAGTTTCCTAATAAAGGAAAATTCATTTTTTAAAAAAAATGAAATGAATGAATCAAAATCAGTTGTCTAAGGATGCAAGTAGTCAAACCTGGGAAGAATGGAATGAGTGACTGATGTACATCTTCTTAATATCAGGCTTCCACCAATCAAAGGATGGAAGCTTCTTCCCAACACGGGTGTGGAAGCACCTAAAACTATTCCCGATCTTCTCTTTGTCTGGAATAAAGTTAGTTGTGTGAGAATTGAGTTTTCTTCGAAAAGAGAATCTATTAATCTCAAACAATAGTTAAAGGTTACCTGCTTGGGACGAAGCCCTGGCAACCAGTCCTGAGCTCGGAGATGATTGAACCCTAGAAGTATTGTCTCGGGGGCGTCTAGGGGGTAGCATCCCTGAACCCAGCGGTTCCTTCAAAACAGTTCCTGAATCAGGATTTGCATCCTGAGCTTCAGTAGGTTCAGGAATTGGCAGATTCGAAGGAGCGGCTCTGCCCTTCCTTGTGCTCTTGGGACGTCCCTGGGGCAGGGGTTCAAGTTCTTCGCCCTTCCTCTTCTTCATGAGAGAAGAATCACTTGCAAGGCCTTCCTCCTCAACGGTGGCAGCAACCACGTTGTCTGCTGCTGGGATGGAGGGAGAAGCATTGTTCACAGCAACCGCCATTGACTTTGAACCTTCAAGAGATCCATCTTCAACCAGGAGAGTTTTCCGGTAGACTTTATCGTCTCCGGTGGAAGTTGCATTTTTCTTGTCTCTCCCAACTAGAGAAATCTGATCTTTGATCTTCTTGTTTGCTTCTTTGATCTTTCTCCTATCTCGAGCATTCAGACTCGAGAGATCAATCCCAGCAGGAGGAGGGTCGACGGGGTTAGTAAGGCCAATTCTGACAGAAAATCCGGCACCGTGAATCCTTTCCAAAGTAAAGGAATTCCAATTAACTGGCCTCTCCAAGACGGCCTTGTAGAAGTTGAGAAAATCGATGGATGGGACCGGTCGAATTTGGGGACCTGCGAGAAAACAAGGAAATGTTAAAACGCAGTTTGAAAGAACATGGGAAATCTATTCAGTTAAATCCTAGTTTCTACCCAAATTCGATGACCAATGGACTCGAAGGAGTTTAGAGGAATTTTGAATAGAAAAATTATTTATGCGGAAGAAGAACCAAAACTTCCTCCAGGCGTTGTTCTTTAAGGGCAGGCCGTCAATAAGATTCCGATCCGCGATCGGATAAAGGGCATAATACCCAGAAGTTCGGGATTCACGAGCCTGGAAAAGTTCCAAGAGTTCGCAAAGTCCCAGCGAATAGCCAGCCTCCGCCGCAACAGTAAAGGTACATAAAAGATACCGGAGCATGTTGGGCGACATCTGAGAGAAGGCAATTCCCAGATGGTTGAGGTAAGCGAGAAGTATCTCGGGAAGGTGAAAGAATAAGCCGCACCCTTTGAAATAAATTTCATAGGCGCAGCAGTAACCTTCTCGCCCTGACTCAGGAGACTCGAAGGGCTCCGGAACTATCATCTCCACCTCAGGGGGGATGTGACATAGTCTGCGGAGATCATCAAGGGAGTCAACAGTCGATTCACTCTGAGGGTGAAGATCAAACTCGTCTCCAGTATGGATTTGAGGTTCCGATCCTTCACCCATGAGAGCTTCGAGGTCATCAACTTCATACTCACGAAATTCGGGAGAAAGGTTCGACATTTTACAAAAAGGATTTTTACCGAGAGGAAACAATGACTTCTGTGATAAAAATGAAAGTTCTCTAAGTAAAGAAGATAAGATGGAAAAGTAATTTTATCTCTTAGAACCCTAAAGTATGATGGGAAACCGCCTCGAGAGTATTGGGAAGTGGCACAGTTTTCCTCGTGGTATTAATATAAAATTAGGAAATTAATGATGACGGTTGTCAGGGAAATCAAATCATCTGATTATCCGAGATCGGCGTAACAGCGTAAAACATGGAGAAATTCCAGAATGTTAAAGATCTCGAGTCATTAATTACTGTTTACTTAAGTCTTCCAAGCCGAGCACTCAGCTCGCAAGACTTGGGGGGCTAAATGTTGGGGTCGGATCCCACACACTTTCGGTAGGATCCACTTGGATCTGTCCACGTCATTATTACACAATAATCCTCTTGGATTTCTAAATACTTCATTGGACTTGACCGGTTCGGAGTTCGATCTTTACCAGTACGGAGTTCGCTCTTATTCAACATACAGTTCGCATAGAGAAAGACCGAAGCGAGGGGAATATTGTTCAAGGCTCGCGGTAGCATCAAAGCACGGGAGTTCGGAGTCAACAAGAAAGAGTTCGGAAGGCCCACGCGAAGCCCAAGACAAGGTTCAAATTCAAGCCGTTTCGGTCAAAATGTAACTTATGTGATTAATGCGGATCAATATGATTACGAGTAGTAAATAGCCACATTAATCATGTTTTCTCTATAAAAACAACCTCAAACGTATGTGTTTGGGGACAGACAATCTTTTACTTTTTACGATCAAAGCAATACAACATACTTTTTCTTTCACAATTTCCCAAAGCTTTTTATTATTTTATTCTTATCAAATTCAAATTCTTTCGCTTTATTTAGTTTCTCGGTTACTTTCCTTTTCGAATCCTTATTTTCTTTTCTTGATTTTAGAGTTTTTCTCCACAAAAATACTTAAAGACAATCGAGTGTGAATCCTACATCCACAAAAACACCAAATAAAATCAGATTCATCAATTTTTTACTTCGCCATAAACATTTTTATCATAACCAAAACTGATCCAAAATTATTATCAGTTTGACTCGAACCGACCCGTTAGGAACGAATGCCCATCCCCTTAGTACTTTATGAAATGGAACACCATCAATGATGGAGAACTCAACAGCTAAGTGAAGTGAAGTAAATTTTGAAACAATTTGTAAACCTGAACATAGCTAATACAGAGAAATCACAACTTCGACTCACACAACTCAAACGAACATGAAACAACTTTATATATAATTCCGTAATCAAACAACGTTCATAAAACGCAGTAATGATCTTCAAGCCATCTCTCAAGATGAGAGAAACCCATCAATAATGAAAAATGGTCGATAATGAAAGTAATCGAGCTACACATGTTCTAATTGTGAGATTATAAGAGCATGTGTAATGCAAGTCTCTCACCATAGTTTCTCTCATATACAAAAATAATAATAAGATAATATATAATATTTTTTAATTATGTGAGTCTCTCAAAAAGGTTAAGAAATTTCATAACATTCGCCAATGATTTGTTGTGGGACTCTCGCCAATTATGTGAAATTAGCGAATGTTCTGAAATTTCTCCAAGATATTCACGTAAGAGGAGTAAGATTCAGAACACTTGAGGCTGTTGATACATGATCCTTGTAGACAATGCTGCTTCACACTTAATGTATGTATTTAGTCCACAACCTTCCATTCTAAAAGGTATTTGTATGGAATCATTTGTGTAATTTTAGTTTATGGATTCTCATAATTTAGATGAATAAGAGCATGTGCAATGGGTAGAGACACTCAAAGTCTCTCATCTATATTATTTTAATACATGTAATTTAATTTATTTTTATTTAAATTTTGGATGATAAAAAAGAACTCATAATCAATAATATTGTGACATGTGTCATACTAAGGATTTTTTGTGATGCATATATATCTACATCACCATCTTTACAGTTTCCCAATAAAAACCATCTTACCTTTTGATATAGTCAGCCTTCCATTCTTTTAAATTCACACAAGGATCGGAAATCTATGCTTGCTTTGAAGTAATACTTACAGAAAATTGTTTTGCTTGCTTGAAGAGCTCAAGTAATAGTTGAAAGTTTTTATTCATTTATTATATATCCATCTTTATGTGTGGTTATAAATTTCTCACATTCAAATTGTCGTCTTTCGGGTTCTCATGAAAATCTAAAGGGAGATATGAATTTTTTTGTGTTTTTGGATCAATTACATTGTCATCATATTTTTGTATGTTTATGTGAAGATGATAATTGTGACATCCGGATTTTACTTAAATAACAAGGCATGTCACGATCTAACTTATAACTCAAATAATCCATACTTAACCGGAAATAACCAACATACTTCCATTAAATCAACTTAAACGTCCTTCAATCCATAAAATTAATAAATGTTCCAGATTATCCAATAAAATAAAATAATAAAACGCAAATTCCGAAAACCAACACCAACTGACAATTCTGGCCACTACTCCGCATCATTACATGCAAGAGAAAGAGAGGGATAAGCAATCTAAGATTACTCAGCGAAGGTAAGCCTTAGGGCTCATGAATTCTCCATATATAAACATATCTAGAATCACAAAGTCTAAACATAAGACAAGCAAGCAATCACGTGTCAAAGACACACACACATCAAACAAATGAGACTACATCCCATAACCACTACCATAAAAGCAGGCAGGATACGAACATATAACACACGTCGTCTACCCGTACGTACTGGATTCCTCGTGCCTAAGCACTTCTTCCGTGCAACCGGATCCCTCGTGCCTCTTGCACTTCTTCTGTGCACCTCATACTCGTCGGCTCGTCAGCCATCCTGATCTATTCGGAAACCACGTCCATAGACCATCATAAAACTACAAGGATCTCTCCTGGCATGACTCTCCATGGCACACTAACCCCTCACGGAGACAATTCATTTTTTATCACACAAATATGCATTTCACGAATCACGCAACCCGCATTAAAATATTCATTTTTAATTTCCATCTCTAATATACTAGTCTTTTTCTTTAAACTTTAAATAATATAATATTTATATACTTATAAAATATTAATACACACAAATACGGTTACTCATATATATGTAACTCGCAGGTATACTCGGCTTAACCCTAGACTAAGTAATCAACTAGACATGTTCATATACGAAAGAAAACACGATCTCGTCCTCACCTTAGCAAATTCGGTTGGATTACTCGGCTTAATACTAGCAACAACAGGAATCCGACTCAACGACAATCTTAATCTGCAATGGTTTAGATTAACCAATCAAAGATTATATTCCAATAATAATCTATGATTTAATCTAATATCCAAAACTTGAATTAATTGATTTTGGTATTTTGCCAATTAAATTAATTAGACTTAGTTTAATAATTAAATCAAATAATAATCTAATAATTTAATAACACCACAATTATTTATAATTATCCCCAATCACGGTTTTATAGTTGATTACAATTATCTAATTCTTTCGGTTTGGAGATTAAACCAATCTAATTTAATAACTCCTAAAATCAACAATACGTCAACACTTCTCCCACGCCACAGACCACCAATTCACGTCACCATATTGATCACGTCACCACGAATTCATGGTTTCGATTATGGACGTTAGCTACATAAAGATTTCCGGTTTAAGCTGGTTTAAGTCGGTTTAATAATCAAACACAACATAACACTGCAACTCGAGAAGAGACCGAGGCTAGTTTGCCACTAAATAGAAAAAATGAATCTGGCCTGCCATTTTGTGACCTGAGTGCCACTATAAATGTGATATCCCAAATTACCCTTAATGAAATGACAGACGATCGGTACAACTAAGAGATAATAGTACAACTGGTACAGATAGATTATAGGACAACTGATACAAATAGTATAACTAAGAGATAATTGGACAACTGGTACAAATGGTATTACTGAAAGATAATTGTACAATTGAAACAATTGGTATAACTGACATATAAATGGATACAACAAGGTACAACTGGTACAAATAGTTAGGTACAACTGGTACAAATAGTTAGGTACAACTGGTACAAATAGTTAGGTAAAACTGAAGCAAAACAATTGTAATTCTAAACCCTAGCGCCGTCACACTCACTAATTCGTCTCTTCTTGCTTTGTTCACCGTCATCGTTGCCGATTATCCGCCGTCACACTTCTGTGAACCGTTTTTTCTTGATTTGTGAACCGTTTTTTCTTACCCATGCATTACAAAGCCGATTTTGGAGAGATCTAGATCTAGATTGTTGTTGGATATCTGATTTGCGAATCTGAGCATAAACTATGATGATGGAAACGAAGACAAGGACAAAGATCGATCAAAAGAACAAAGAGAGAGAAGAGAGATCCATGAAAAAGAAGAGATCTATCATTTATGATGATGGAGAAGAAGAGATCTGGGATCAAAGATTCAAAAAATCCAGCAAAATAGATCTAGGGCATTGATGATGGTGGAGAAGAAGAGGAGAAGAAGAGAAGAAGAAGAAGAAGAGGATAAGAAGAAGCGTGAAAATTATGTGGAGAAGATATGGATTAGCAAAAGAAATGACAAGTGTACGTAATTTGTGGTTTAGGTTAAGGGTTTTTGGACTTTTACCATATATTTTGATTTAAAAGAAAATGAAAAATAAAATTAAAATATAGGGGTGGCAAATACGATTAGTTTTATGGAGAAAGTGGCATTCTAGCCATTGTTTCACTCGAGAAACAAAGCTTCGCCGTTTACCTCTCTCTGCGACTTTCCTCGATGGTTTAGTTTTGTGCCTGGCGATTGGTCGAGCCTGGGATTGGTTTCGTGCCATGCTAAGCCAATGGGATTTTGGTTTAGCGTTATTGTTGATGAACTTGTATATACATGCTTTGGTTAATGTAAGAATATTTATGTTATTTTGTTAGACGTATGTTTGAGAATGTGGAGTCTGATTCTATGCTA